GGTCAGTCCTGTGCTGCCAGCGGTGGGGAGCGGCTTTCGCAGAGAGCTGGGCTGCCGTTAGCAAACTGAACATGAAGGCGTGTTCTGCTGTCAGCTGTCCTCAAATTATTTGCCTTTTGGAGGAGAGGCTTGCTCGGCTTCCTTTCCAAATGAAGGGAAAGGGTCCCGTCTGGTGGTCGAGGGCTCGGAATTGGGCAACGGACCCGTCCTAATTGGGCAACGGACCCGTCCTGCCGTTTTGGCCTGCCTGAAATCGCACCCTGTTCTGCGAGGATGGGGAGGGAACCGGCCCGTCTGCAGGGGCGGCAAACACCGCTCTGCCGGGAGGCGGCGGTTTGCTCGGGGGCCTGTCTCTAGCAAGGAAGATGGACAGACATCTCCGGCCTTCAGGCGGTGCAGATGGACGGCGGGCTGAGTCTGGCATGTGTCTTGTGAACGAGCAGCAAATGCGTACCATGGATCCTTACCTAAGGCCGGCAAAGCCCTGCAGGCGGGTGCTGTGCCCCCCCCCCCCTTGGTTGGGACATTTTTTTTTGCTTGTACAGGACCAGCACATGCGTCCCATGGATCCTTACCTAAGGCCGGCAAAGCCCTGCAGGCGGGTGCTGTGCCTCCCAGCCTCTTGATGAGCAATTTTTGGAGAACGTACCGCGCTGTGGGGCCGAGAGTCCCTTGTGCCCCTGGGAGAGGCTGCGCTCGGAGACAGGCGAGAATGGGCCCAGTTGCCCCTTGCTCGGGCTACTGGGGGGCTCCCCCGCGGGGGTGCCTGGCTGCGGGGGCAGGGCTGGCAGGTCTACCCGGGTTGGAGGGAGGAGCTGGTTCCCCGGAGGGGAAATCTCTGACTCTGCTTTTGTTCTTCAGAACCTCCGTCGGCAGGGAAAGATGTTTAACAGTGCTGTGCCAAGCTGCAGCGTTTGCTCACGTGTCTTCCTGCTGCCTTTTTTTCCTTTTGTTTCTCCTGCTGCCCTCAATCGCTTGCTGGAGGTGCCTGTTCTGCTCTGTTCCTCCTCCCCTGCTCCAGCATGCTTTTTCTCCGTTTCCCTCACGTTTGTTATCCCTTCCTGTCTTGCATTTCCCCAGCAGTTTAAGCTGATGCCAGACAGGTTGGCCTTCCTCATCACGGGGCCCTGAGGGATTGCAGTGTGCCTTGATTTGGGGAGCTGCGCAGAATGGATGTGTTTGGTTTTGTAGGGTTAGGTTTACTGAGGCATCTCCTGAGGGGAAGGGGGCAGTTGGGGCTGTGGTGTCCATCACAGAGACACTGCCTTTTAGCCAACCAGCTCCCTCAAACTGCCCGTCTTACACCAACCTCTTATAATTATTCCCCCCCTCCCCGCCCCACTTGAATTCGCTTGATCTCTTCTGCAAAGGGCTGTCTCCCCACTGCCAGTTTTTGTGCCAGCAGAGCACTTTTCATACCTGCAAAGGCCCAAATTTCACCAGAGAACCCGGGCCCCTTGTTTCCTGTTGGGGAAATCCCCTGCAGAGCAGCCTCTGCACCACTTTCAGTGCACCAAGGTCTTTTGCAAATTGTGCAGAAGAAATTAAAGGGAGGCCCAGACCAAGTTGCTAGCAGTGTGCCATTTCTACTATAGCTGCCCTTTTGTTCCAGTTTTTCATGTGAAGAACTCTGAATGACAGTGGGATGCTCGGTGTTTGGCAGGGGGCTGGCACCCAGGCCCTGCATGACCAGCATGACTTTGACTTATGCTTCCAGCTGGATCTGAGTGGTTTCTGTTATCTGTGTGTGCAATGGGAGACTGACTCGGTCTCTCCTTTTTCCATCGTTTGTTTAGGAAACTATGGTCTAGAGATAGGTGAGCTGGGAGAAGTTGTGTAAGCAAGGTCTAGCTCACCTGGAGGTTTCACTTCCAACACAGAGAAGTCGTGCTCCGGGTGCGTGTGGTGGAGTTCTCACTGCTTGCATGGTTGTCCTAAAGACTGAGACAGTTTTGCCCCCTTCCACACACCCCAGTGCCTTGTGCCGCCAAAGCCTTTGTCTTAGGGACAGAACCATGAGTCCTTCTCTGGGAAAACTCCAAACATGAGCCCAGAGCTCAGGGGTGCCAACCTCCAGTGCCAGAGCTGTGTGTGACTTCCAGACATGTTGAGAGGAACCCCAGGGCGGCTGCTCTGAGGGTGTGATGCCGTGGGGGGAACGGCATAATCCAAATCCTGGCATGTGGGAAGAGTCCAGCTGGAAATACAAATTTCCTCTTAGTTTTGGTTGATGGTTAGTTGTAATTGGGGCTCCCAGTTCTCCTAGTCCCATGCTGTGGTCTTCAAAGCCCTTTCTTCTTCCTTCTCCTTCCTGCTCATGCACAAAACTCTCTGCTGCTGTTTGCAGCTTGGAGATCTCCCTCTGTTGGTGAGTGATACATAGAATGCTTTCCTAGGTTGTTAGTTCTGTATTATCAGTAATAATAATTATACAACACTGAGTGTTATTAGTACAGCCATTGTTTGTGTGCGTTTCTTGGAGCCAAACCACTATAGGGTTATTTTGTCCGATGGGTAACCAGAACGATGCCAGATTGGCACTTAATGTGTCTGAGTCATAAGCAAGCGGAGCACTTGCATGACTAGGCTGGTGCGAGGCAGGGCACTCTGGAGCAGCTGTTCGGGGAGAGCTTGGATGATGCTTCTGTCCTGATGCAGGATTTTGCTGGGCTCTGGTGTTTCCCTTAAATTTTGTTTCTGCCTTCTGCAGCCCCCTCAGGAATTTCTTCAGGCCACAGTCCCTGGAGCTGCTCTTCCTGTTTTGTGCCTGGTGATGGGCTTTCCAGGGCATGGGCAGTTTGAGAAGAATCTCAAAGGGACTGTGTGTTGTGTTCAGAGGTCCTGCAGAGCAAGGCCAATGGCCTCTTGTGCTGCAGGAGTCTTGAAGGAGGTTGTAACAGATAAGCCAGGTGCTGTTACTCATGTTACTTTTTCCACAGCCTCTGTTTTGCTTTGCTCATCACTGCAGATGATCTGAATCTCCTACAGAAGAAACCTTTCCTTGTCTGCTTGGGTTTGGTATAGCCACACTGAGGCTATGACCTTTTTGAGTCATACAAATGGGCTAAGCAGCAGGGTGATGAACTGGTTAAGCCAGGTAAATGCCCCTGCCACATCTATGCCCTTTGGGACCTCTCTCCAGCAGCTTGACTGTCGTACTGTATTTTCTTCTCAGACGTTGTCCTAAATAGTATCCATCTCTTAATCTAAAAGAAGAAAAACATATAAATCACTTGTTTACCCAGATACTCCTTTTTATCTTGTGTTCCCCTCCCTCCCCCCCTGATTCTGTCTGAGGCGCTTGATCTTGGCCTAATGTGCTTTCTTCCTAGTCGCCCATGTTTGATGGCAAAGTCCCTCACTGGCACCACTACAGCTGCTTCTGGAAGCGGGCTCGAATTGTGTCCCATACGGACATCGATGGCTTCCCTGAGCTCCGGTGGGAAGATCAGGAGAAAATCAAAAAAGCTATTGAAACTGGAGGCCCTGGAGGAGGTAAGCAGGGGGGTCTCCTGGTGTTTGGAGGTTTAGCTAGAACCGTTCTCCCTCTTCTCAAGCTGTTGTTGTAGTTATTTGATTGCCATGTCCCTTCAGCAAGTGATGTCGGAGGAATTGTTGTGGTGTCGCCGTGCTCCAGGGCTAGGATGCTGGCAGTATGATCCAGCATGTTAAGTCAATGAGGTGAAAAGACAAGTCAGTTGGCAGATGCGTTGCTAAATACTTCTTGTTACCATGATTGGTGTATTTTGTTTTCAGTTCTTTAGTATTAATAAATGCTGCTGTTGTGTGTTGTTTTAATGGTACCTTCACCGCAGTGTATGGTTATGAAATTGCGACACCATGAACAAGTGAGTCAGGAGCAAGTGAGAAGGGTCTAAGTGCAGACCAGGATAAACTTACCGTGTCTCTGTGTAAACCAAGGATGCCGGGCAGTTTTAGACTGATGTCTGCCTGTGGAAATGTCGTACCACAAAAAATAAAAGGAAACTGGCACTTGGGAGGAGGAGCTCTGCTTTGAAGCAGGGCTGTTTGTGACTTCTGTTACAGTCAGTTCTTCAGTAAGATCTTTTTTTTACGCTACTTTCAGGAAAGAAGTAAAAAGGGTCAGCTCTGTGCACCTTTGAAAGTCTTTTGAAATCATTAAATAACCAATCCTGTACAATTGCTACTTGGCTGTTTAAAGAACTTTTCTCCTTTTAAAAGTGCTTTTGAGCATGGACTGCTTATCTTGCTCTGTAGTCAAATTCTTGACAGATGGGTTGCTGGGAACACAGGTTTATTAATCCAGACTTTGACAATCTGGGATGGCATAATAAGAAAATAAGGGGATGCATTTTTAAAGCCAAACACTGTATTTGCCTTACTTCTCCAGGAAAAGGAGGAGAACAGGAAGGAGGTGGCAAGGCTGAGAAGAGCCTAAATGACTTTGCTGCAGAATATGCCAAGTCGAACAGAAGTACTTGCAAAGGCTGTGAACAGAAAATAGAAAAGGTAAAAAGCTTCTGTTAGTTCTCCATCTCTTGTCTTTTCTCCCACCAGTTCTGATTCAAACAGTGACTTTTATAATTACTTATGGAAAGTGCTTAGAGCTGCATTTCTGTGTCTGAGGGGCAGCTGTGTTCTGGACAGCTGACACTAAAGGCATCTATCAGGTGTTCTAGTCTGGGCTTCAAACCTGCTGATGCTTCCTTTCACTTGGGTCTTAGAGCAGACAGGAAAGCTGCTCACCAGCATTTCTGTGGCAAGGGAGCCACTACTAACTGCTGCTTTTCCTGCTTGTTGCAGCACTGCAAAAGTCAAGTTGGCCTCTTCCTACTCCTCAGCAAGACCAGTTCTGTTTGTGTGTAGTGTATCCATATTAACTCTGTGAAAGCAGACAAAAACTGCTTTCACAGAGTTAATGTGAAAATTAATGCAGCTAATTAACAATGCAGCCCTGTAGTAAAGACAGTTGGCAAAATGAAGCTGTGAGCTTCTCATAGCTGTGAATAGACCTGCCATTTGGGTAAGGTTGACAAGGGCCAAACACCAGCGCTGATTGCTTGTATTATATGCTTGCTTAGACGTGGCACTTCAGGATATGGTTTAACGGGCATGATGGTGTGAGGTTGATGGTTGAACTTGATGATCTTAAAGGTCTTTTCCAACCTTAATGATTCTGTGTTTCTGTATCTGCAGATACATTGGTGACTGTTGTGTAGACATTTCCTTGTTGGAGCATGAAGTGTTGCAATCTAAAGGCTCCTAAAACAACTACTTGTTGGGCATCTGAAAAGTAATTTGCAGTAAGATGGAGTGAGATCATGTTAGCACTGATGCTTGAGTGGTAGCGACAGAAATTTAGTTTATAGAGTTGCCTGCATAGGGTTTGGTCATGTGAGTTTTGCTAGTTCAAGTTTACTGGGAGTTGGGGAGTTGAGGGACTAAAGACTACAGGATTACCCATTTTGAGTGGTTTTTGAACAGAAAACTGTTTAAGTCTGTTTTTTCAACCTAGAAAGAGTGAAGAAAGCAGAGGAATTGCAGTGAAATGGCTTGAACAAAAAAAAGTTGCCGGCTTTGATAGAGGAACTGTTGCTGTTTTACAGGTGTTTAGGAAGCATCACGTTGGTGAAGAGGTTGTTAACATCTTGCCCCTTCCATGAGGGCCTAACAATTGCTGTTGTGTTGTTTTAATCTGCCTCAGGGCCAGATCCGGATTTCCAAGAAGATGGTGCATCCTGAGAAGCCGCAGCTGGGAATGATTGATAACTGGTACCACCCAGACTGCTTTGTGAGCCGCCGAGCGGAGCTGGGTTTCCTCCCGGTGTATGGGGCCGCCCAGCTCCTGGGCTTTGGCATCTTAAAAGCTGAAGATAAAGAAACTCTGAAGAAGCAGCTCCCGGCTACCAAGAGCGAAGGGTATGTGGACAGTGTAACAAATCGTGTTGTCTAGAAGAGCTATTGCTTGCCTTCAAAGACATCCATGATAAATGTTTTGTGACCTTGTCTCTCTCAAAAGAATATTGGTCGTAGGAAGATTTGGTCCTTCCTGTGACTTAGGCAGATGACAACAGACAAATTCCCTGTCCCTGGGAGCGTGCAGTCCACTTCCCCCCTGTGACTGCCTTGAGAAAATGCAGAGGCCAGCAGCTGCGACTTGGAGGACTGATGTAGGGCTTTCAGCCATAACATAATGCATGCTTAATACAAATGGATACTGGGCTCTGTGCCTCCTTGTGTGATGCTGTTATCAGTGATCGTTTCTCTGCTCTAACCACTTGTTAGAGAATTGATTTGACATGTCTTATATATGAGCTGCTGATCTGTGACAGACACTGAATCTGATAATGGTGTTTATTGGCCGCGTAGTGCTTACACTTGGGTGCTTTTGTTTGCTAAATCTTTTATGGTACGACTGAAATTTCATTGCGTTGCATTGAAATTTTTAGTGGAGGCTCTTGATGGAACTTTTACTGACAGAGAGTGCTTCCAGGTGGCTTGCTAGCTTTGGTCAGTCTTTCTCTGTTAATGAAGGTTTTTGTTACTTGTTTCTAAAGTGACTTCGTCTGGAGTCATACTTCATAAAACAAACCAGTGTTGCATTGTCCCCATGGAGGAAGGAACATGAGGTGTTCCTGGGTCCTACAAATAGGAAAGATCTTGTTTTTTGTCAAACATTGCGCTGCTTCATGTACGTTGCAGACTGAATTCAGCTCTGCTTTTGCAAGGATTCGCCGTGAAACTGTCTAGTGAGACTGATGTTCAGTTCTGAGAAGCCATAGCCATGTCAAATCTGTGCAGTCTTTGTCAGTATTGGTCCTTCAGATACGTGGCTGTTGAGGACAGCATACTGTTCAGAGCCTTGCGTTTATGTGAGTGCCATCCTTGGCCGTGAATGTCATCCTTGGCCGTAAGTAACAGAGCAGACTGCACGTAAACTGATGTATGTGGTGTTAGGAGACTGCCATTCAACTTCCACGCTTTATTGTTGGTTAGTGAGCAGTTGATCCAGAAGCGTTCAGGAGTTGTGCAGGTGCCATGGGGAGGATCCTGCAGTGCTGCACGAGTGGGTGCTCCTTGTTCACCTCACACTGCTGAACCACTGGAGGCTGAGATGAGCTGTCTGTATCTGTCTAGCAACCTGCCATCTTTTCACGCAGGCGTTTTACCTCCATGTGTGTTGCAGGATATTGGTAGGAGTACAGTTTTAATGCACTTGCAGCTTTTCAAGTAGTCCTTTACTTTTTGTGCCGAGGCACATGTTCCACTTTATCCTAGAGCAGTGTGTGAGTTTAATAGGGTTATTTGTAGTTTTCTCCTATGTCTTCAGCAAAGCTCTAGAGATTTGACTATGTAAGTGTTTCTCTTATCTGCCCTGACTCTGCTTTTCTGGGCCACTTCTGGGATGCTATGCAAAATATGAAGGCTTTGTAAAGATAGGCCACAGAGTAGTTTGCCAAGTCACTGTGTAAATAAAAGCCTAGAATTGCAGTGGAAAAAGAGCTTAGACTGGTGATGTAGGGTAATGTGAACCAGGACCTCCTGCCAGAAAAGCAGCAGGATGTCTCATACTTTCCTGCTTTCTAAGCACTGCATGAACAAGTCCCTCAACCGTGAAGGTGCTGGCTGGCTCTTATGCTCCGCTACCTTTCTTCTGCTGTTTGGGCTGTGTGCTTGAGCCAAGGGTATTAAAGGTCAATTGGAAAAGTAGTTGTCTGTCAAACAAACTGAATGAGCGAGAGTGTAAACAGAATGAGCGGAGAGGTGTGGTGTGCTTTCTACCTGTTAATTTTGTGCCAAGAAAGCACAGAAGTTCCAGAGAAGGGAAAAGAAAAACACCCCAGAAGCTTCAATGAGAGGCCATTACCTCCTGATAATTCGTCTCGTGCATTCAGATAGCAGAAATTAACAGCAGAAATTACAGCATCTCGCAGAAATGATGTTACAACATCTGATGTTGGTGAGATTCTCTAAATGATCTTTAAAGATATTTCTAATTGTGTGTGTCCAAATTATATCTTGGCTCAGATGTCTCTGCAATTCATATGTGACGCATCCAAATTCATGTGTAGGCTTCTAGCCCATACTCTGAGGAGAAGCTCAGACTTTGTGACTGCCCTGTCAGCCCTTTCTGTAAGGATGGCAGTGTGATGTGCCTATTGCAGATGAGAGGAGTGAGATGCCAAGCAGGGCAACAGAGAATAGTTGGAAAATCCCTTCCCTCTGAAGGGCAAAAACGGGGCAGGTTTCCTGCAGGGATCCTGGCTCCTTTCCTCACTCAGCTCTGGGTGAGACGTGCGGAGCCTCCCCTGGGCTGCAGGCGGTCATGCCTGAGCACCAGCACTTTGCAGGGGGAGGAGGATCTTGTGTCCTTGCCAGC